TTTTTTTTTTTTTTTTTGTAAAATTGGGGGCCAGAATCGATGAGGTTTGCCTACGTATCTCACATCCGGTGAGAAATCAGACTCGCATAGTACGGTCAAAATAACTAAGAAAAACTATTTTAAAAATTATAATTTTAAAAACCCTTCAAAATTTTATATAAAAAAAATGGGTACTTTATGAAACCTTGGGGAAAATTTTCTTTTTCTCTCTCCTCGAAAGTTTTATTAAGATTCAGTGTTTACATGAGCAAAAGCAGACCTAAATGACAAATTTAAAAACCCCTGTACTGTATTTCAAGCAATATAGGAACAAATCTAAGATAAACAGTGGGAAATAAACCTAAATCGAGCTTGCTAGACCAACAACATAAAGGGCTGAACTTAGAATTTTCCAAAGCTATGAAACATGCATACAAACCAACCAATCTTAATTAATTAAATCAGTGATCACAGTACATAATTAATACACATTCTATCAAGTCCAAAGCACTCTTGAATCAGTTGTATCTACACAAAGTCCAAATCCAGCATTTAACACCAAATGTGTATCTAGGAATGAAGTATCCAAAACAAACTAGACTAAAAATGAATAATAACATGGCAGAATCGAACATTAGCTACAACAGGGATCAATATCTTTCATTTAATTCCAGCTTGGTCACAGATATTTACACAAGCTTAAACAGGCTTCATTTCTATCATAGTTTCAAGAGAATACCTAATGCAATCTGAGCAAAAGAAAAAGGTGAGAAGATCAGTTGTAGGAACAGATGTACTTTAGCAGCTCAACAGTAGCAAACCCAGCTTCTTTAAACCATTTGAAATCCCAAAATGAAACATATATTTACTTCAAAACATGAAAACCCCAAGAATTGCAAAAACACTTCAAGGTAACAGTGGTTTTACGATTCTTCTTTGTATTTTCTGATTATTCACACCCTCTCAGTATTTTTCAGCCATTTTTAATTCTCTCTGATCTGATCACCCCCTTGAAATTTTCAGTTTAATGGGGCTTTTATAGAGGAGGGTTAGGGCAGCAGAACTGAATTCAAACTTTTCTCATTTTATCCTTTTTCAATATTCGTTTTTGCTATTGTGCCCCTAGTGTAAAACTTAGACTTTCAATTTAATCCCCTTCCCCATTCCTAGAAGCTTCCCAAATTGGTTACTAAAAATTCCCTTATCCAAATCCCTAAACTAACCTTTAATCCTTCATTATTTACCCTCCGCAAAACAAATATGGGTCCCATAACCCCACATCCAGTCCTAAATCATGCGCTGGCTACCAGAATTTCCCCTTCCCACATTGGGCTTCTACTTTACAAAGCCCAAATATAATTCAAAACCAACGTACTTCACAGAAACCTACTACACCACCCAAAGCTATGAACGAATAAAACAGATAAAGGAGAAGGAATAAAAGGAAAAGGAAAAAAATAACATGAACGAATAATCTCTATACTAAACTATTTATTCTGATTTAATCAACCAAGAACTAATGCGACTGAAACAAAACTAAGATGACGAACAGCAAAAGAAGAGAAAAATAAAAATTAGAATAAACAAAAGGAGAGAAATATACCAGGGTCTACCAAAAGGATTGTAGACTCAGAGAGATATATGACCAATAAGAGGTTTCGATGAATGACGAGAATTGTAACATGAGCACTAACCGGAATTTCTTAAACGGCTAGAACTCCATATCACAATCCTCGACATCTACCCTGAAGTGCGATAAAACAGAAGCTCGGAACACTAATTGGTTGACCAAAAGCTGGCTGCCATGAAAGGCCTTGAAACTGACTGAATAAATAGCTAATCCCCACATGATATTACCAAAGAGAAACAAACAAAGGAAAACAAAAGAATCAGAGAAGATAGAACAACTCAGATTTTCTGCCTTCCGAGATTTGAAATTCGCGAGGATTGGATGATTTTTGGAGAAAACTAATGATGGATTTGGAATGGGGAGGCAACGAGGGTTATATGGTCAAAATTTGGCTGAGTATGGAGACTCGCCGCTTGCCGAAAATGGTTAAGAAACTCAGGACAGCGGGTCTTAGGGTTAGGGATGAGGGAGTTGAAGTATAGAGATACGATTTTTCTCTATGAATTTCGGACAATTATATCAAAAAGGGGGGTACGTTCCTCGTCCATTAGATTGAAAAAGATTAACGACCCATATCTATTACCTTACGAACGACGTTGTTTGGTTGGGAAGTGGGGCTGGACCGAGTATTGGTTGGGTTTGGGCCAATTTCGACGGGCTTCAGTGTAGAATCTTTGAGTTTGGGGAGAATTTAAATGGTTTTTAGCCCAATTCAGACTCTCCTCTTTTTTTTCCTTTCTCTTTCAATTCAATTTTCTTTTTATTTTTCAAACTCTTTTTAATTTCTTTTAAAAAAATAAAAATAAAACCTAAACTAATTCCTAAATCAAATTAATCCCACCATATTGAATTAATTAACTCTAACTAATAATTACCACAATTAACTAAAAGCAAATTAAAGGAAAAACCACCAAAATTCAAAAACTAACATTAAAAAGTGCAAAAATAAGTTATTTTTTTGTGATTTTTCCATTATTATAAAACAACTAATTTTCTAGTTATTCTGAAAAATGTAAAATTAAATCCTAAATGTAAATGCAATATATTTTTGTATTTTTCATGAATAATAAAATAAACGTGCACAGACAAATGCAAACAGTCGACAAAAGATGCCACAAAAAATCTACAAAATTGCAAATAATGGGAGAAATTTATTTTCTTGAATCTATGGGAGTAATTCATATAGGGCAAAAATCACGTGCTCACACTTGGGACACCAATTAAAATATTCCAAGTGGCGACTCTATATTGAATAAATAATCCCATTTCGAATTATGTCACTTTAATTGGAAAACTCCTATATCCCCTCTCGGGCAGGTAAAAAGGAGGTGTGACAAGCACGCTTAGAGTTCGTTAATTAAACTCGCTTATATGACCACTAAGGGGAGAGTAATGGGTAGTAAAAGGATATGATGACCTGCGCGTTAATGTCACGTGTAGCCCCTCTAGTTAAAGAGGATTACTGGGCATTGCACAGATTGATTCTATAGGCTAACTAACTTAGGACTTCCCTTCCTTAATTTATGTACGTATGCTTAGAATGTCCAAACTTCTTTAATTTAAGTATGTGTGCTTAGACTATCTAAAATCTACATATATGTGCTTGGACCATCTAAACTTCCTTAATTATATATGTGTGCTTAGACTATATAAACTTCCCTTATTTGCAAATGGGTGCTTAGATTGTTTGCTTATTAATGTGTCACGCCCCAAACTAGGGGAGGCACGACTGGCACTAGATACTACATTCGATCGAGTTAGCCACTAAACATACTAGCTAACTAAACTGGGGGCCCAACAGATTGAGCAACACAACATCTGAAATACTAAGCCTGGACCATTAAGGTCATGACCTGAATAACAATAAGCCATATAAACAAAGGTAGACGAGCCAAAGTAATAAAGTACTAGCTGGCCGACGAGGCCGCGATTAGAGACATACATGCCTACACACATATATATACCTGCCAAGCCTATGGGCTGGAGACTGAAAGCTGCAAAAAGAAACCCAGAATATTGTGTCCACAATAGCCTCTAAGAGTGTCATAAGCACTGTCGAGACAAGGCCCCGACTAGACCCAAACTGTACAAAAAAAGTAACCATCCTATGAAAGCTCCAGGAAGAGGTGGAGCTTACCAACTCACAGTTGAAATCTGAAATCCTAGCAGAGGGGTTGATCAGAGTCCCTACCTAGACCTGCACGCACGAAACANACCGAAACAAAAATGCAGTGTCCCCAGGCAACGGGACATCAGTACGAATAAAAATGTACTGGTAT